GAGTCTAGTAGCGCGGCTAGAACGTCACCTGATTGACGCTTAAGATACGCGTTTAGCAGGCACATGAGCGAGTCTAGTAGCTCGGCTAGAACGTCGTCTGCTAGGAGCATGCTTAGCAGTCACCATGAGCAGATCTAGTAGCTCGGCTAGAACGTCTGGGAACGCGTTTAGCAGGCACCATGAGCGGATCTAGTAGCTCAGCTAGAACATCTGGGAACGCGTTTAGCAGGCACCATGAGCGAATCTAGTAGCTCGGCTAGAACGTCGTCTGCTGGGAACTCGTTTAGTAGGCACCATGAGCGGATCTAGTAGCTCGACTAGAACGTCTAGGAACGCGTTTAGCAGGCACCATGAGCGAATCTAGTAGCTCGGCTAGAACGGCGTCTGCTAGGATGTTCGTCTCAAAGGATGTACTTGGTCAGTTCGTCTCAAAGGATGTACTTGGTCAGTTTGTTGGAGGCAGTGAACTAGACACATTCATGCCTGTGACGATTTAGGCAAGTTTACTTTGAACTTATGCCTGATAAAAGGCGAGTTTGCTTTAAATTCGTGCGTAGCGAAAGACAAAGTTACTAGACCCATGCTGAGACAAAGGCGAGTTTACTGAGAACTCGTGCCTAGTAGAAGGAGAGTTTCTGTAAACTCATGCCTAGTCAAAGAAAAGTTTTTGTAAACTCGACTAACAATAAGCGAATCAACCGCAAACTCATGCCTGATAAAAAGCAAGTTCAATTTAAACTTGTGCCTAAAATACATGTTTACCAAGCTATTTCCGACCCAAAGTTTTGTGTTGGGATCGTGCCGGCTTTGACAGCAAATTGATCAATGAGAAAAAACGGCTGCGGGATTCGCGCAGCCAGGAGGTCACTCGCGAGAGGGTGCATGTTGAGGCGGCAATGACCAACAAGCTTAGCCGATGCATCGATCGTGTCCGGGCTTATCTTAAGCAGCGTAGTCTCTCTCGCGGGAGTAGAGTTTGCTTGAGCAGGCTTCCGGGACGAGGAAATGTCTCGAGATGATCAAGGAGGAGAAGTCTTTCCCCGCTTGTTCTCCCTTCTAGGTTCGTGAATGAAGACTTGTGGCTACGCCTGACCCGTATGGGTCAAACTAGCGCTGCGAATTCGGTTTTACGAAACCGAACCGAACCGATTTTTCGGTTTTCGGTTAACCGGTATTCGGAAAAAAAATTCCGCAATTAACCGATTGATTTATCGGTTCGGTTCGGTTCGGAAATCAGTTAATTTCAGAATTAACATTTTGTCGAAAATAACCGATTTCATCAGAAATTATTTGAAAATCGGATTTATTTCGGTTTATTTCGGATTTTTCGGATAATTTCGGTTTGTACGGATTTATTTTCTTAATTCGGATCTTCGGTTAGTTTCGGTTAATTCCGTTTAATTACCAAAATCAAACACACAAGAAACTAAAACACAATACATTCAGTCTATTGTTTTAAACTGCAAACGTCAAACCAAATACATCCATCTCCAATACATTCCTTTCCATAAAACATTTTGAATCTAAATCTCTTTGCAATAACCACACATTCAAAAGGGAAAAGAGTTATAGATTCAAATGGTAGTTTAACCAAAAAAAGAAGAGAAAGGAAGTAAGGAACCAAACCAACAATCCGAAATCCAAAAACAGAGTGAGACAAAAAAGAACAAGCCATCAACACTTCACTCTCACACTCCAACCTGCAAGTGCAAGTTATTAAGGTAAAAATCACTTCAGAAAATACAATTCCAAAAGAAACAAGTAAAGAAAAAGAACTCTAAAGATTAAAAAGATGATATTACATTATTACCTCTAATTTTCAGGTTGGCTTGGTAGTTCCATAGTCTCTACACAATGACAAATACAATTAGCACAAAATACATCAAAAATATTTAAAAGAAGAAGTGAAATATTTACCTAAAGACTCATGAAAATCCAATTCTTCAAACATTTGAACCAAACTTGCAAGTTTCTCGGCTTGGATATTATTTCGAAGCCGCTGTTGTGTGCAAACGAGTGCTTCGATCATGTATGGAGTTAGACAGCTTCGATAAGGATCTAAAATCCTACCACTAGTACTAAATGCTGACTCTGAAGCAACAGAAGAAACCTGGACAGCTAGAACATCCTTCACCAACTCTGATAGGACTGGATACTTAGCAGAATTACGCCTCCACCATGACAAGACATCAAATTCCCTTCCCATCCTGTCTGAGGTTCGTCGCACTGGTCTTTCCATCAAGTAAATATCAAGCTCGCTACTGCCTTCATCATTTGCAACCTAGGATTCCATCTCTGAGTACAAAGAATCTCTCCCCTCATACTCTTCATCATCATCAGAGATGTCAAACATGTTACCAATCTCATTATCCACATTCTCAATACTATTCCAACACTATCTCCTTGAGACTGTGGGCGCATCTTCACAGCATATTCATCATACAAATCTTTCATCAATGTCCTAATCGAAGTTCTAAGATGGGTACTCTCTACACTGTCCTTACCGTAGAGCTTGTCGAAACAAATGCTAGCAAACTGCATCTTGTTTCTTGGATCAAACACACTTCCAATGATGATAAGCGGATTCATGTTGTAAAGACCATCCCAATATTTCTCAAACTTGTTCCTCATCTCCCTAGCTTGAATCTGTAGAACTCCATCCCTGCTGTTGCTCAAACTGATGAGGTTCCTTTCAATGACAACAATCTCATTGTAACACATAGTTGAAGTCACTGTTTTGGATGCTGAAAACGCCAACGTACACCCAAAAAAGATCTTAAGGAACTTCACTAACCTCTGCACTTCATCCCACCCTTCAGAAGTTGGAGGTCCAACCCTCTTATGTCCATTCTCTTCTGATTCATTGAAGTAATCATTGTACAACACATCTTCAGCTAAAAGCTTCTCAAAAGCAACCCTAAACTTTAACACAGCAGACAACATCAAATATGTAGAATTCCACCTTGTAGTACAAT